GGCTCTCCCACTTTATATTTATATACTAGTAGTATTATTTATCATGTTACTTTTTAGTTAAATAATTTCCGAATACTTGGAGCAGAAGCATTCGACTAATCGGTCACACATCATAAAGATAGCACAACAAAAAGAAAAAGACGGCCTCTTCGCAGTTAAAGGTCCACCGTGGAACTTCCACGTATTACAAATCCATTTTTTTTAAAACATCAATTGTAGGAATTAAGATGAGTGCATATAGAAACACACATATGCTATATAACTGCTATATAGAAGACTATAATCTATGTCAACCCCTAGTTTCGTAAAATAAATAACAAAAACTTGTACAAAAATGGAAATAGACATAAGATATAGACACAGTTAACTAATTATTTTTAATCAAAGTTAGTTGTTAAAAACAAAAATTCGTTTATTTGTCAAAACAGCTTCGAAAATGTTGATGATTTTTCATTTTCAACTTATACCTAATCGAGTAAATACCTAACCATATGAGTTCGCTTACGTGTTTTACACCTATATTATATAGTACATCTTTATGCGGGTAAAAGAAAGAAGAAAACATGTGACAAGACCGAATAAATCTTGACATTATAAAAACGAATTATGTGAGAGAGATACGATTTACACCATCTAAATTACCAGAAACTGATCAAGATCTATAAAAAGTTTATATTAAAAACCATGTAAAACCCCCCGAGATTTTCTATTCTAGACGAGGAAAAGTGCATTTTAATTTTCACCGGTTTTTTTTTTTTTAGTTCACCTAGAGGCATCATGATGTTTTTTATATAAAAAATATATAATTAAATAATTCTGTAAAACATTAAAGAAAGATTGGTAAAGAAGCAAAAGTAGTGAGTAGTGACCAACAAGCACATGACAAAGAAAACAAATCCTTTAACAGGAAAGAACAAACACATGTCTCCCTAAACAACGTATATATGTGGGAATAATGATTTTATACGTTTTTAAGGTAAATTTGTGAAAGAAAGAAAACCACATGCAGCAACAAGAACAAGTGATTGTGAATGTTTTTCTTTGCGACTGTAAGTCTGTAAATGCTGCAACTAAAAGTGGTTTTACGAACGATTATAGCATGTACATCGCATAGAGTCTTGATAAGTCTCTCAAAAATAGTATTTTTATTCATTTTCATTATTTGTTGAAAATTTAAATTAATAAAAAAGCAAAGAACAAATAAAAAAATAAACACATGTTAGTGGAGTCTCTCAAAATGGATAAAATTGTTTTTCAAATGAGATATTTGAAAACTCCAATTTTCTTTTCTCTCCA